CTTCAGTTCTTCTCCTTCTGGCTGTTCCTCTTCCCACAGCTCGACAGTTTTTTTTTTTTTTTTTTTTTTTTTTTTTTTTTTTTTTTTTTTTTTTTTTTTTTTTTAAAGCAGCTACTTAGAATTTTGAGCAAATGTTAATCACCACCAGCAGCCTCAGTAATCTACTTTTAACATTTCTCCTGAGGTGGGCAAGGCTAATTTAGCTTGTCAGTGGAGGTCTGTCTGCTATTAACCTCCTCACCTCTTTGACTTTTTCAAGTCTAGTTGCTGTAGCAGGGTTTAATTGGATTAGGGTTGGGGTCTCAGACAGTTTCAGATTTGGAACACTTATTAGACAAGACAATGGGCAATGGAAGGTATGGGTAGGTCATTAATTTGATATCTGGCCCACAGGGGAGGATTCAGTCCCGAATTATCCACACTTGGGAACAAGGGTGCCCAGCAGATTGCCTTCAGGTCCCAAACTGCTCATTGCCAAGGAATCTCTAGGAGAGGAGAGTCTGCCATTACCTGATGCTCTTTTTCTTTCCTTTTCTCTTTTAGGGAGGAGAGAAAAATCTTGGTGGCTTGAAGTAAGATAGAAGGAAGCCCTGTGCTCATGTGAAAAGCACCAAGAGCCCTCACTGTGAGCAGGTGGTTTTAAAAAAAAAAAGTAACAGCCAGCTTCTGACACAGGCTAAGTTTGGAGGCCAAAGCACGCGCAGACCTTGGCCTCAGAGGGAAAAGAAATGGTATTTCAAACCACAGGTCCCTGGAGACCTGATGGCTCAGGTGCTGAGGACTCTGGAGGAAGGCATGGATGCAGGTGGCTTTGAATCCGGAAATAAGACATCTCACAGGGACCAGAGTCACTTAGCTTGTGTGTGGCACAGGCCCAGAGGCACCATCCCAGGACACGGGCACAGCAGTGGATGTATGGAGTGTTGCTGCCTGGCTCCTTCTTCTAGGGGACACTCATCCTCCCATCCAGAGTTGCCGTGGGTGTGCCAGGCACGTGCTTAACTCCAGCTTGATCAGCTGTAGCTTTCCATCCTTTGGTCATGTTGACTGCCCTAGCAGTGGGCACTTGACCCAAACAGGACCACAAAGTGCAAAGCGTGGCCGTGTTTCCTGCTGTGTGGGCTTGGGAAGCAGAGGCCGGCGTGCAGGGCAGAGAGAACGATGCAATGAATGCTGAGAGGAGCGGAGACGAGGGACCCAGCAGAGGAGCTGAGAGTTGCTACTTCCACCTTCCACCGAGGCACCGCTAGATCCTTGTCCAGGGACCCAGGGGGCAATAAACCCCCCGCTAGTGTTCAAGCTGGGTCAGATTGGGTTTCTGTTGCTTCGAGTCATAGGAGTTCTGAACAATATGCCGGAGGTTAGAGTCAGGAATGCGAAAGTACTTCTGTTGGAACTTGAGCCCTCTTGAGCCCTCCTCACTATCAAGATTTGGACACAAGAGTAGGAAGGGTTTCTGAGACCCAACAAAGGAAGGTTTGAGGATCTGGGCAAAGCCAGGTGTCAGGAAGGCACCGTGGGCAGGCAGGTGGCCAGCTACCATCCAATATGAGGCTGAGGATGGAGAGGCGTCATTCAGTGGAGAAGGCACCACAGACTCCTCTCCTTTTGGCAAACTCCTTTGGTATTTACCAAAGCAATGATTGCAACAACTCAACAAAAATACAATATGAGAAATAAATTTCTGTTGGTTATAAGCCACCTAGTCTACGGTGTTTTGTGATTATGGCCTGAATGGATTAAGGCATCCCCAGCGGAGGCGCTAGAGACCCTGCACCTGCATTCAGCATCTCACAGGAGTGAACTGGAGAAAGACAACAGGGGTGGCCAAGAGAAGGAAGCAAAGGAAAGGCTGCAGCCTTCAGCGTCATGACTACTCCTCCTGAGCACTTATTTCGTGGCATTCAGCCGAAACTCGCACGCTCGGTACATGCAGGTGGCCTGGATTACTGAGAATTTAAACACAGCTAGCACAACCCAAGGACTGAATTCTAAACTTGAACATTGGAACAGATACTCTATTCATTTATTGGAGAATATTTTAAAATGTTCAGAACTAATTTGGGTCTGTGGATTTACTTAACTATGAATCCTATGAAATCTCAATGCAAGGCAAGCTGGGCAAGGTGGTGCATTACTATAATTTCATGCACTGAAGGGAGGCTGAGGCAGGAGGATTATGTAGTGAGTTCAAGGCCAACCTGAACTACTAAGACCCTGTCCCCAAAACCGAACTCAAGCCAATAAACAAAACCAAAAATAAATATGAGGCAAATATTTCTGATGAGAATTTAGCATCTGAATGGAGATGCACTATATATGTCAAAAATACACATCAGATTTGGAAGATTTGATGTGAATAAAAGAATGTTAAACATCTCAATCATTTTTATTTTGATTACACATTATGGTAGTGATATTTTGGTTGCATGTATTGGGTTAAGTAAAATATACGATTCAAATTAGTATCACGTGTATCTTTCTTTTAAAATTGTGGCCACCAGAAAATTGAAAACTCCTGGTATGGCTTGCATTACATTTCTACTGCACCAGTACTATGTGTGATGCCGAACACTTTAAAAGTATTTCATTTCACCCCAGCAACAACTCGATGAAGAACATATCCTTTCTTTCACCACCTTTTTACAGAGACTGCTCAGAGAGGTTTAGTAACACCTTGAAAGTTGCACAGCCTAGTGGTGAGCTAGGGATAACACAGCAGAGGTCCGATTAGTTTGTAGTCGTAGCACACTAACTACTCTTTTGGGAGCTGATGCCTGAGCATTACCCCCTCTGCTGGAATCAGGAAGGGTATCAAAACCACACTGTACATTTTTGGTATTATTTTTTAAAAGGTGCTATTCATGAAGCATTGGCTCGTGAGCAATCTGGTACTTCTGCTGTGGCATGCCTTCATCTTTTAGTATCCTGGGAGTCTCAGAAAAAATGGAAGACCAAGGCCAGAGGCTTCCAAGAGTCCCTGAGAACACAGTAAATCACTTTCCTAGCTGCCCCTGGATGCTGCCTTGGATGGGTCTTCGTCGAGTGTGAGGGGTGATCAGGGAATTGGGTCAGACGGGCTTGACACAATGGGGGCTCTTTGCGGGCTGGGAGCAAGGCCAGGCTGCTGCTCTGTGTGCCAGGCTGGTGCTGTTGGTGAGTGGTCTAGAGGAGCCCAGTGAGGCACTGTGGTAGGAGGGAAAAGGGGATGTCTTCTTAGTTACTTTTCTCTCTCTGCTGAGACAAAATACTGGACACCCAAAGCTCAAGGAGGAAAGGTATATTTGACTCTTAGGTTGTAGAGGTTTCAGTCCGTAATGGGCTGGCTTCAAGACAGGGTGGATGGCAGAGGAGAAACAGCTCATGGTGGGCAGAAGGTAGCAAAGCAAGCAAGAGACAAGACAAGCCTCTTTTGTTCCTTATATGTATCCAGGGTATTGGGGTTAGAGTGGTGCCAAACTAATCAGTGGACTGATTTAGTAATTTAGTAATCACCCACCCTTAATGCTAGCACCCTCAATCCTACTATTTATTATACTGTGAATCAACGACACACTTTATATATTTATTTACTTACTTGCTGGCACTGGGGATCGAACTCAGGACCTTGTGCTTGTCAGGCAGGCACAGTGTCACTGAGCTATATTCCTGGCCCAATCACACACTTTAGATCTGGCCACCTCTGAAAAAGCCCCCACCAATGACCACATAAGGCTTTTGTGGGACATCTAGACACAAAGCGGAGGATAGGGGGACACACCTGATACTTCTCAGGCCCAGTTTTCCAGGGAGCTGCTGGGAAGCTGGGAACACAGACGCTACATCTGCTGGCCTCCGTTACCCACTAAAAACCCTAACAGTCGCCTCTTGCCCTGAAGAACTCCCCCCAGGGCTGCTCCTGCTTGGACAGCTGGAGCCACGTGGACTGTGAGGGAACTCTGGTTCCATGAGGGAAGGAAACCAAGCCAGCACCACAAAGTCCAGTGCTGCACAACTGCCAGCTTGGCCCGGAGCTCCTCTGAACCCAGCTTGGGCCGGTGGGGTGAAGTAGACTTATTGTGTCAACTGACTCTGTATTTATTCAAATAATTAATTAAATGTGCTTCACTGAAGTCAGAAGTCACAACCATGCTACATCCCGGCCCCTGTGTTGTTTTATTAGTTACAGCCAAGGGCTACATTTGCAGGGCTGAGTATGGGAGGGCGTCAGGAACAAAGGGTCCGAGATGTTATTCTCACCCAGAAAGCTTAGAGGCTGATAGCACCTTCTGGGTACTGTTACCAAGACCTCCTGCAGTTAGATGTCACCACAAACAGGCACCTCTTCTAAACTGTATGATAATAAACAACAACAAAAAACATAAACTAAAACGTCTCTGGGAGAGTGATTTCCGACAGTTCACACCCTCGTGTGAAACAGACCAGCCTCAGTCTTCCTTTCTCCTGGCACCGCTTAGAGAACACGGACAGCACAGATGTCTCCATGGGGCGAGGAGAAGGAGGCAGGAATTTATTATTCTTAACATTTACCTCAGAGGGCACACCCGGGGGAGAGCCTTGGGTGAGTCGTGGAGCAGGGACGGTGCTGATCGGATTTGAGTAGAAGGACCCTGCACTCTACAAGGAGGCTGAAGGGTTCTAGAGACGGGCTTGTTCCTTTAGAAATTCCACCTGGGAGAAGCATGGCTGGCAGTCTCTTCGTTTGAAAATAAAACACCACATATCTGGGTGAGTTCAGCAGGGGCTAAGAACATTGTTCAGCTCCTGGCTGGTTCGGGGGCCACTCTTATCTAGCCTTTGCCCAAGAGGCCGTATGCATAATTGTAGCCTTTCTGCCGGAAAAGCAGGCCAGCTGCTGCTAATTTAATTACGTCCAATTTGGGTGGCATTCATTGAACCTTATGTGTAAGCCACCTTCCTAACAATGTCCCGGACCCCCCCCCATATGCCCCCAACACTCACCACCCACTTCCCCCTATGACCAATCTGACCAGAGGATTCCCAGGCCGGCAGGGAAGCCTCCAGGTGGCCCCGGAGGGAGGGCAGCAAAGCCAGCTGCTCTGACATTTTCTCTTCTCCCCATCCGGTTATGAAGCGGACGCTACGGTTTGCTTGCTACAGGGCTGCTCAGGAGGCTGACAGGGTGCAGGAAGGCATCAAAAGCACTTTCCAACACGGGAAAGAGGGCAGGCAGACAAAGGAGGATTCTGCTGTCGCTGTAATTTCTATTTATTTTCCGGTTTCCAGAGCGCCAGCCTTGAGAACTGCTTCCTTCCGTGCACCCGTGCACGCAAGGCACACAGAAAACCGGGAGGCAAGAAATCACCTCATTACTAAGGCTGCAGTACCCAGCTCCTACAGCAGGCTCCTGCATGGTGGACCCAGGGCCTGCAGAGGAGGCCTAGCCCTTTCAGACGCTTCTCGGCTTCCCTCCTCTGAGCACACCCTTTGAATCTGGGTGTCCTATGGATTCTGTAGTTTTATGACATTGTGGTTAGGGTCGGGGAGGACAGGAGTGGCAGGGGAAAGGACGGAAGCTCCAGAGGCAGAAGCACCTCGGCTTCTTCGGGTGGAGAAATGCTGCTCTAAAAATGGCTTCAGAGGAGTCTGGAGGCACTGAGGGAGAGGGGAAGCTTACACTTCCTGTTGGAAAAAATAATGAAAAGTATTTACTTCGGCTGCCAAGAAGAAATTTCCCTCAGAAAGTGGACGAGCCCTAAAGCAACCTCCCCAAGGCAGGGAGTGGTGGGACAGAGACAGATGACCTCAGGCGACTACTGGATGCTGGGAGAAGGCAGAAGCCAGGCCAAGTGTGCTGGTTCCACAGCTAGCAGCAAGGCCTGGGCTGTGGGGTGTGTAACTGGTTAATAAATAAAAACACCAAAATTGGATATTAACAGCAATTAGTTTCCGTACAAGCACTGGGGAAAAGCGCTGCGGAAAACCCCATTGGGCCTTAAACTGAAGCAATGTGAAATTAAACCAGTGTCTCAATTAAATGGGAATAAACATTGCCACATTAGTCTGTGCAAGAGTGGAGGGGCTGGAGGAGCCCCCCAGCCATGAAGCCAGGTGCACCTTCCCCTGTGTCAGCTTTGGGGCCACAGCCTGGGTCAGCATCTTTCCACCCTGACCTGTGACCTCCCGGGGCCGCGGGACTGCGGCCCACGGCCCACGCATGACCTTGATCCAGGGCTGTGAAGGTGATTTCAGGGTACTGGTCTGCTATTTCATGCTGCACCCTGGTGGGTCCCACAAAGGAGGGGCGAAAGGGATTTCCTCCTCTTATAAAGGCACGGGTTCTGGTCCGAGGCTTGGAAGGACAGGGCCTTCCGCTGCTGCCTTCATTGCCTAGCATGTTGTTTGCCCTCCCGACTGAAGATTTTTGTTGTTTTACTTTTTTTAGAGTGTTGTGGGAGTTGGGAAGCAGCATATTTGGGGATGGGAGTTTCTGCCCCCAGGTCTGGGGTCAGATGCCCATGCCTGGGCCCAGTCACCCTGAGTATGGAGGACAGAGATTGGGGTGTGCAGTGCCCGAAGAAGGGAGTGGGGAGACGCACTGAGGCACCCGTCTCCCCCAAGGGCTTTCCTTCTCCTGGTGGGAGGCCAAGAAGGCGATCACGGAGTGACTTTTCCAGTGGGGCCCTTGTCCCCCCCTCCCGGCAGTGTCCCCTTCCGGCTGGACCCTTAGGACCTCTTTTGGCCACGTTCTGACCCTTTTGGCAGGGGAGGGTTTCCGGGGGGCCGGTTTTCTGGGCGATGGAGGTCTCAGGTCCGAGGAAGAGACCCGGGGGAGGACAGAGGACAGGCAGGTGCGCGGTGTCCAGGCCGAGGCCTGAGCTTGGGAAGAGCTGGGGGCAGAGAGGGTGACATTTCCTTCTGCCCAGGCCTCCAGTGTGGCTCGGCCCATTTTCCCGAGCTGAGGATGAACCCGCCCCTAGCCGCCTCCCACCCTGTCCTACCTCTAACGTGGTCTTCCAGGCTGAGTGGCTCCAGAGCAAGCAGGGGTAACGCAGGTCCGCGGAAAAGGAGACGGGCGCTCCGGGCCGTCCCTCCCGTTGGCGGCGGCCCCGCGTTCAGGGTGCCCGGTTTCCTGCGTCCCTCGCGCCTTAGGGTTTCGGTTTTGGGTGCATCCTGGAGCCGGACTGAAACGAATTCGCGTTTACGAGGGCCAAACCTCAGTCCAAAGCCTTGGGAAATGTAGGTGATCCCAATCTCGGGGAAGGAGTCCCAAGAGGGCGTGATTCCGGAGAGAAAACCAAAACGGAGAAAAGGGAAACCAGTGGCCGTTTATCTTCGCCTTGTTACGTGTAGATGTCTAGGTGCATTGGGGGGAAAAGCCTCGTGCGTGATGGAAAGGGAGTCCCCAGGCCGCCTGGCCAACAGCTTGCAGCCCACACCCCTCAGCGGATCTGCACCCCGCCGCTTAGGACGCCTTGAAACCGTGACACAAGCAGCAAAACGAAGTTGTTTTGCCTCCTAAGTCCCGGATCTCGATATTTTGCACTGTGTATGCCCGAGCAACAAATAGATTGCATTAGAATTTTAAATGACCCTGCCCCCCCCCATTTAATTCTGAGAGCAAAATCCTTTGGGATGCACCCGGGAGGTTTATTTGGGGGGGTTTCTGTTGGTGGCCCAGGCCCTCATTTCAGGGCAACGTTTACATTGCAAGACAAAAGAAGAATCAGAAAGTGAAAAGGTGAAGGTATTGAGAGCTGCTGATACTTCCTTTCCCACTGACCTGGAACATTCTTTGCTCTCAGTAAAACCAGCTGCCCCACTGCCATCTGCTTCCTAAATTTGGTGCTTCAAGATCTCAAGGCCTCCCCCAGACCCCTGGGCGACACAAAGCCACCCTGCATTGCGTTCACTAAATCTGAGGTCCTTTTTCTTGAAATGCCTTTTCTTTGAAATGTCATTAAGCATTAAAACGTGTTTTAAAAGCCAGATCGAGTAAGACTGGGCAAAACTACCCAACAAAAGAACTGTAGATGGGACTTGGAAGTGGGAAAAAAATTCTTTATTAGGTACCAGCATTCTCATTATTGCTATTGACATCCTCCTTGGTGTGAATCAGCCGGCCAAACCCCAACACACACACACCCAACTCCTCAGTCAGCCCATGTTGACTCACCGGCTTCCAAAGCCACCCACAGAGCCGACGAGGAAAGGAGGCTCCATCTGTCCCAGGCAAAAAGCTTTGCAGCTGCCTCCAGAGGAAAAACTGTGTGCTAAGGTTGGGATGGGGGGCGGGCATTACGTAAGTTCCATAGTGGGAAAGAGAAAACGTCCCTGTGGACACTGTGGACGGGCTTTGTGCGTGTGTCCTTTTATCTTCCTGTCAATGAGCCCTGGCTATGGCTCTGTAATGCAAAATGTGGGCACACACCTGCACAGGGCTCACCTCTCCCCCAAATGTCCAATTAATGCTCCCAGCTGGGTCACAGAATCCTCTCCCCCTTTGGCAACAGAAGTAACTTAGGCCTTAGGTCTGCCTCTGATAAAGGGCCAATTTCCCCTCCTTTCTGGAACAGACCTGGGTGGGGCGGGGGAGATAAGCAGTTTCTCCTTTGGTATAGTCTATCCAACTGTTGGTCAGTTACCTTGAGAAACACAGGTGTTCCCACCAACTCGGTGGGTGGGGTACCCGAACCCAGGGGCCTCCCTAATGTTCGTTTCAAATCAATACTGTCCTACATTTTCCACCTTACATATCCCTGCATCCCCATGCCCCTTTGATTTAGCCTCAGGATACAATTTGGAGGGCTCAAATGGACAGGTAGAAGTAAAGATGATGTGGAAAATGAAATATCTTCGGAGACCAGAATTCTCGGGCTCTTTGTGTAATTATTACTGGGCATAAAGAGGCCCTGAATTTAGAGGAATGGAATCAGATCTGGTTGACCTTTGCTGATATTCCATTTGGTCAATGCAAAAGGGGCCTTGAAATTACACAAGAGGCAGAGAGGGCCATTAAAGCCCCACATGAAAACATTACATAACAAGACCTGGTGGGCTCAGGCAAACACTCCTATCATGGCACACAGACCCAGCAAACCCACACCACTCCCACTCTCTGAGTTTATGTAAGTAATAAATACAAAAGTTCTTGCCTGCCAGGGCAGATTGTGGTGGCAAGGCAGACAGGCCTTACCCAAGGTGCCTGGTGGGAAAGCTATTGGTGAGGTCAGGTTTCCACCTCCAGGGGCACTCACTTGGGGGGCATCAGGAGATGGTACCCAGGGCACATCAGCGAGGGATTTCAGGGAGGACTGCAGAGCAGTGAGGGGTTTGGGCATTAAAGGCTTAGACCAGATTTCTCCAGGAGTGTGGTGGGGGCAGGGGATGCACCCCCAGGAAGGAACAGCACTTTAGCTGCCCTCCTCATCCAGAAAGGGCAGAAGGCATCTAGGATCTGGAGGGGTACGTCCAGGGATGCACATTTTGGAGCCAGGGGCTGCTATCTCTTGGGACCACCCCGCTAAGGCTTGGGTGTCAGCAGTTGTGTGTGCCCCCGCCTCCTGCTGCCAAGCTCACCTCCAGGGCCCAGGGGCAGCCCAGCAGCTGCAGTCACATGATGCACACTGCAAGGGTGAGGTTGGGCTGAGTTTCTAAGGCCCAGAGAAGGTTCTGGAGGTACTTTGGCAGGGTGCGGCACACTTAAGTCTCCGCCCGCCTAAGTCCAAGCACTCCCTTAGGGGGGCATAAGGAAGAACCTAAAATGTAATAACTGCACCGTGAGGGGCACCTAGTAAGTAGGCACTCAGTGAATACCTGTGATGAAAAGAGGCCAGGAGGGCTACTGACTCATGCTGTCATTGAATAATAGTTTATTTACTGGGCTAGAATGAGGCTTTGGAGAGAAGACCTTCAGTTAGCTTTTGCAGACACTCGTTTAGGTCTTGATTACCATTATCAAGAATGAAATTAAACTACTAGGTATCCCTTATGGCCCTGCCTTGCCTGGTCAGGCCTTGGCCATGCTGGGGAGGGGGATTGCTGCAGTAGGCTTCCTGGGTCTTGACCTCCTTTTCCCTGCCCTTCCTTCCACTGTGGGGACCTGCCTGTGTCCGTCCTCCATTTTTTCCACCTGGAAATTAATGAGTTCAGGTCTTGCACCATCCGCTGCAGCTTGGCTGTTCATACTGGACTGGGGATTGCATGGGACTGCGACAGGAGTCTACAGACCCAGCTACTGCCCAGGGTTGTGATAGGAACAAGGCCTGATTTGGGCATCAGGGTCCTCAGGATGAGGGAAGCTTAACCTTTCCATGCCCTGACAGCCTCTTTCAAAACAGTCTTTCCTCAGAACCCCCCACCCCCTGTACACACAACTGTTTTTCCTACACTCACATTTTGCAGGGAATGCATCCCTCCTTTCAGAGGCGTGGGTTACTGTGCCTCTGCTTTGCTCTGCAGCTCCTGGATATTTGCCTGAAACTGCAGGAACAGCCGCAGAGGGTAGGAGGGAGGGTTCTGGGAGCCAAGGCTGGGCTTTCAGCCTTGATACAGCTCCTGAAACTGTCAGGAGCTTAATCCTTCGTGTCTGCAAAGCCCGGTGAGTTCCTTGGGGTTGTCAGGTACCCACAGCTCTACAGCAAAGGGTTACAAACAGCTCCCCTCGCCTTCCAAATGCTCACCCCACCCCCACCCAAACCTCAGGCGGAACACAATCTTTGCACAGCCCAGGCCCTGGGGCAGTCTGCCAGCCTCCCGAATGCCACATTTCCCCCCCCAAAAGGCAAACTACAGGCTAAATTCAGAACAGAAACATAGCCACGGAAGAAGATGTCCATTCTCCTTCTAGGCAGCGGAGCCCAGAGAGAAACAGCACGCCAGCCCCGGCAGAGTCACCGGCGACCCCCCCCCCACCCAGCACGTCTGATTCTGTCACCGGTCACTTCTGCCTCCCTCCCTGAGTCTCTTTGCATCTCCAAACCCTCCTCGGTCCCGAGCCACACACCTCCCCACCCCGAGGGTGAGGGCGCAGGTCCAGGTCTGGTGCGGGGCCACAGGGCGAGCAAGCCCAGCTCGGCGGCTCCTCCTTCCTTCCTCGGCGGGCCGCGCGGACCCGAGGTGCTCAGGCAGCCCCATTCTTGGCATTCACCGCGTGCCTTAATTGTATGGACATTTAAATCAAGGTCCGCTGTGAACACGGAGAGAGAGGCCTTTCTCCTGAGGAAGGAAGGAACGCAGGAAGGAAGGAGAGATGAAAGCAAGGGAGGGGCGGGAGAAGGTGCCGCGAGGGAAGGGGAGAGAGGAATAAAAGCGGCGCGAGTGCGTGCGCGCTGACAGCGGGAGGGTGGGGGCGGGGAGCGCCGGCAGGAAAGGACCGCAGCACCCTCCCTACCGCAGCTCCCCCAATCGCGCAGACAATGAGATAACGGCGACGTCTTCCAAAGGCTCTTTGTTCTCCCGCATCCAGGCCTTTTCCTGCAAAGCGGAGGGGGTGGAGGGTTGGGGGTGTGGGTGGCAGTGGGAGACGGAGGGGTGCCTCCCCCGTGTTAATTACCCCAGATCCCTTCGCCCTCTCCCCGCGCTACACCTCCTCCGCCTGAAGCTCTAGACAATGAAAAAACAACATCCACCCCACCGCTTCCCAGCGCAGCGAACCTGGCCCACCCATTTCAGCTTGGATCTGGACCCTGAGGGAGGGCTGCGGGGCCGCCGCCTTTACCTGGATCTCCGGGTCCAAGCGCAGCCGGACCGGGCGTGCCGCGGGGGAGAGCTCTGGGTCCGGGCCGGGATCTGGGAATCGGCCTCACGCAACTCTCCTGATGCAGTCCTGTCGCTCAGGTCCCAAGTGGTAGAGGGGAAAAAGGAAAAGAGGGAGGAAAAAAAAAAACCCATAAGAGCGAGGCCCATCTGGCCTCTCATCAGCTTTGTCAAGTCTTGCATACGCTAAAATGCTAATGACCTAGATAGCTCATGCAAAATGTAGCAGGGAGGGAGGGAGTGAGGGAGGTGGGAGGGAGAGAGAGGGAGGAAGGGGGGGCGAGGGAGAAGGAGCCGGAGGGAGAGGGAGAGGAAGGGGGAGGGGAGAGAGGGAGGGAGGGAGAGGAGCACCCCTAAACTCTCCCACCCCACCCTTGCTGCCAATGGGCTTTACTGGGCAAAAGGTGGGCGTAGATTTAAAAGGTCACCGGTATATAATGCGGCTGGACCCCAGAGTCGAAAAAAGGGAGCAGAGGAGATCCCCAGAACCAAAGGGACAGTAAGACATTATTTGAAGCCTCCTTCGTCCTTCTCCTCCTCTACCTCTTCACTTTGTTTACACACAAATCCAGTTGCCTCGTTTTGCGCGGATATGGACATGTCAATTTCTCCTGGACGGTTTTCTCCAAGGACACCCGGACTCATTCCCGGCAAGACCCGTCCCCTACTGGGTCGCCACCCTCCCCCAGCTGGCCCATCCATCCCCTGAGCTCGGCCAGGCCGCATCCGGCGGCTCCTCTTTTCTAAACCTCCGGTCTCCATTCCCCTGTCCCTTAGGCGCATCAGAAGGCGAGGCAGGGGGACAGAAAAACCGAGTCAGATCCACACGGGTGGTCCTCGATTTATCTACTCCTCCCAGAAAAAAAAAAAATAAGTAAAACGACAGAAACCCAACCCCATCCCTCACCCTGGCTCTTAGAGCTATGTCAAAAAGATCGATAAAAATTCATTCCGAATACCCCGAGAGGTCTGCGCGCAGGGCGGGCGTCCGCGGGATCGCTTGTGTCTGTCCGTGTCCAGAGCCACCGCTCCAGCGCGTTCGTCTCGCCAAGAGCCCACGGTGCTTTGTTCCGGCGTCCACCCAAGGTCTTCCTCTTTTTGTCTTCCTTTTTGCGAGACTGTTTGCAGTTCGCAGCATCACAGCCAGCCCCACGAAAGGCCGTAGATCTACTGGAATAAAAGGGACGGAGATAACACACACGCAGATGGACGAGGGAGGGGTGCCGAGGTACAGAGCCCGCACCCAGGAAGCGGGGCTGGGGCCGAGCCCACACCGCTTCCTTGCCCGGGGAAGGGCCGGCCGGGCGGCGACCAGGCGCCGGTGGTCGCCCCACCTGGCAGGAGGAAATGATAACCAGGAGAGGGGGCATCGTGGTGATGATCATGGTTAAAAAAAAATTCCGAATCTCCTCTTAGTGGACCAGAGCATGGGTGCAGAGGGACCTGGGGGAAGGATGAGAGCGCAGGAGGCAAAGGTTGTGGAGGCAGCGCTCTCCGATGACAATAACGCGCAGCGAAGTTGCGGTGCAGCCTGGAAATCCAGCCCCGCGCGTGAACTCGCGTCGAGTGCGGATTGCAGGGGACGGGGGAGGAGGGGGAGGGGAGGAGAGCAAGGAGGAGGGCGCAGGAGGAGGGGGGTGAGCGAGGAAGGCAGAAAGGGACCGAGAATTTGGAGCCTTTCCCCCATGTATCCTTACCAAGCCCCATCTCGTTCCTAGTCCTCCCAGGGTGAGGTCGATCTCCTTTTTTTAAAAAAATTATTATTCCTTTAACGGATTATTCGGCTGAGAGGAGCCACATCTGCTGACGGTTCCGAAACAAGAGGATTAGGAGCCCGTGCAAAGAGCCCGGCCCGCAGCCCCCACTCCCTCTGCACCAGCGCACGTCATTCTCGCTGCCCCCGGGCACCTCCCTCCCTCTTC